CATACCTTTGATTCCAGAACTTAATATGTAGAAGAAGGCCAATCTCTGAATTTAAGTCCAGCCTAGTCTACATAAAGAGTTCCAGGCCAGTGAGAGCTACCTGCTGAAATCTTGTGAATGAATCTAAATCAAATCTTCATTCATATGAAGTATCCAAATATACCACAAATTCAGTGTTTCAGTGAGACAAAGAAAAAGTGTAGGCAAAATATCCATACGCATAAAAAGAAAAATAAATAAATCTTTAAGAAATACTCTGAGATAGAAACAAGATAATGAACATTGGCAATGAACAAAGTTGAAAATAGTAAAGAAAAAATGTATTTAAGGGAAACCAATCTCCTAGATTAAAAAAGTAATAATATCTGGGGCTGAGAAGCTAGCTCAGTCAGTAAAGTGTCTGCCTTTCATGAATGAGAAACTGAGTTTTATCTCCATAACCCAAGAAAAAAAATGAAGGTGATGGTAACATGTGCTTATAATCTTAGCATTGGGGAAGTAGAGACAGATGGATTCTAGAGCTTGCTGGCCAGCCTACCTAGCCTACTTGACAAGATCCAAGCCAGTAAGACACTATTCAAAAAACATGTTGAACAGTGCTGGATAAACAAAGCCCAAGATTGTCCTCTGGCCTTCAAACACATATCTATGTATTTGCATGTGCAACCAAACACTTGAACACATGTTCACATGCTCACCCTCACAGCACAAATAATAACCACTAAAGAGAAGATTTAAAAAGAAGGCTCTGAAAATAAGGACACAGTAGGAAAACAGATCAAGCAATAATGAACAACAATTTAGGGAAAAAATTAAACTGAATATTAACTGAAAGAAAAACTACAAAGAAATAGATAAAGTCCAGGCTGACCTAAAGGAATGACTTGGTTTGGGGAGCTACACTCCAGAGAAAAGGAGGACCAACAGCAGATAGCAGGAGACACAGAAAATCTTCACTGTACTTTTAGTAGCATGATGGGGGAAGTACTTCTGTGTATGTTTATCTTATTGATTGTTTAATAAAGTTTTGCTTAGCCAATGAAACGGCAAGTTAGGCAGGACTAGGAGTCAAAGAGGATTCTGGGAAATGTAGTAGAGAAGTGGTGATCCAGGCAGCAAGTGACATAGCAAGGAGATTCATATTTAAAGAAGGAGAAACAGGAAGCATCCCTCTTTTCCCCTCCGTTCCAGCTCCAGTGGCACGATGTGATCCACCGGCAAGGAGGGATGCCAATAAGGCATCCGATAAGTCTTATAAAATATATAGGTTTATGATAGTTAAAACTAAACTAACAGATGAGAATCTTAGTCATTGGCCAAGCAGCATTGAACCTAATACAAGTTTCTGTGTATTCATTTGGGCCTAACTTGGGCCAGCGACTGGCGTAGAGCACACACGTGGCAGTGGGGCTCAGACGGCTTTTGGCGAAAAGATTTATTGTAACAGTAGCATGCTATACAGAACAGCAAAACAGGGGAAACCATAACAATGGTTGCACCGGAATAGATTAAAGCAGCATCAGAAAACTCTCATCCTCTCAGAACTTGACTGGAGCAGTCACAGTTACCATTAAAAAAAAAAAAAAACTGTATCAAAATGTTTAAAATTTAAAAATAAATAAACATATAAAGTAAAATATTTTAAATAACTCTTGTAGAACCTAGTATTGTTGCTTTACTAAATGGACATTTTGTCAAACTACCTTCTAAATGTTTGTTTATACCTGTAGACCTCGACTACTCTCAACCTTGGTCAGAGATGCTTCATTTGCAGTGGACAGCAGCCAATGCAGAGATGCTTAACTGGCTGCAAATTTTGAAAATAAGAGACTAGGTGTTCAGCTCTAAAAGGGACACCTATATTAACTCCAGCATTACCAAGGCTTGGGGAACATTGCAGAAGAGAAGAAAGGCAGAAAGAGAAGAATGCAGAAAGAATGTAAGAATCCAGGAGTATGAAGGAAATGAAAATTTTTCATCTTAAAACAGAATAGCAACAAAGACTCTTGCTGAGTCACTGGTTTGGTGGGCCCAGACCCTCTGTGAACTACATGATTTGGAAACTCAGAGACACTGTCACCATACTATATAACCAAACATGACCATCATTCGCTGATGTGGAAACTTTTGAGAGCCAGCATCTACAGGGGAACAAATACTATGGTTTGTTGTAAGATTAATGGTGGTGGTGGTAGCAGAGGTGGTGGTGGTTCTGGTGAGTTGTGTTTTGTTTTGTTTTGCCTTTTGAGGCAGGGTCTCACAGTGTCATCCAAGCTGGCTTGGAACTCTCTATGTAAATCAAACAGGCCTCAAACTTGGAAATCTGCCTACCTCTTTCTGGGGGCTGGAATTAAAGGCATTACCACCACACACAGTCTAAGACTAGGGTTTTAAGTGGTACAGGAGACTTAGGAAAGGACTTCTCTAAGGGAACTATCAAGAAAGAACTTACAATTTGCCTCCCACACACAAGAGAGCCCCCAGGAACACTGAGACTGCAGAAATCAATGGCTCCCACCCTACCTCCCATGCCTAGTACTGCATGGAGCCAGACATAGCCAGGGGTTTTGAAATCATGACTATTTAACTTAGACAGCTGTACCAGCAATTCACGACACAAGTATTTTGTATTTTATTGTCAGTTCTTTAATTTAGACACACACACACACACACACACACACACACACACACACACCAGGATAGTTTTGTTTGTTTGCTTGCTTGTTAATTGCTCAGTTACAACTTAGAACTCCCCTCCTTATCCTTGCATCTTTTTTCTTTCTCTCAGCCTATCCATCTTTTTACTTCTTAATTGTAACCTTCCATAGCTTTAACAATACCTAAAATCTTTTTAAGATCTTCTATAGACCCTATAAGCATCATCCCAACTTTCCCTTTCCAGTTACTTTACCTACCTCCATTTTTTTCCAAGTGAATCTAATATTTAATTCTTATCCTTACTCACTCTACTTCCTTTCCACTCCTAATCTTATTAATTAAGTAGAAGTATACCTCATACTATATTAGATTGTTTATCTCCAATAGAATTAAAATCAAAAGAGCCACTGTTGTGTATTGCTCATATGAAAATTGCAGAGTGGACATATTAAACATTCCTGGTAGTTCTCTCAGTTAATATCCTACTCAAGGAAAAATATACAGCTTACACTAAGCACCTTGAGTTCCTGGAGTAAGGAATTATTTTCTAAACTACACAATCAACTCTACAATGTCCAAGTCCTACTTGAATAATGAAAACACTCCAACTTAAAGCATATAGCTGAAAAGTAATAAACCAAAGCAAAGAAACCCCAACACAGTAGCATAAGAAACACAAAAACACAAGACAGTGTGCCTCTACTAAAAATTAGAAAATGTATTAGTACTGTATAGTAATATCATCTAGTGAGAGAAAGTTAGATGAAATCCCTAACAGAGAAAAGAATGTAAATATGTTCAAAGTCACAAACAAATAGATGAAATAAGGAAGGTGACACAGGCTGTAAAAGAGAAATTCAACAAAAAGATAGAAATCCTGAAGGAAAACAAACCTACAATACCAGAAATAAGAAAAAAAAATAGTAAGTCGAATAAAAATATCTATGGAAAGTCTCAACAATAGAATGGATTAGGAAGGGACAGACTATATGAGCTTGAAAACAAGGTGGAAGGATTTACAAACCAATAAGGATGAAGGTAAAATAACAAGAAAGCAGCATTAGTGAGTATTCCAAGATGCACACAACATAAAAACACCAAATCCATGGATAGTGGCCATAGATAAAGAAGAATCTAGTTCTAAAGAAAAAATTAAGAATCACAATAAAACATTCCAGAGTTAGCAAAAGAGATATCAATCCAAATATACAAGAGGCAGTTAAAACATCAGGCAGAAAAGACTCTACAAATCATAATATAATCAAAACACTAAACAGACAAAACAAAGAAAGTATATTGAAAGCAGTAATACAGACCAAGTCACAAATAAAGGCACACTCGTGAAAATACCAAATTATTTAACTAAAAATTTAAAGCCAGAAGGGCTTGGAATGTTATTTTTTAACAACTGAAGGAAAGAAACTACTGACCCAGCCTGCTATTCCCAGAAAACCTCTCTGTTATAATTGAAGGGAAAATAAAAACTTTCTTTGATGAAAATAGACTATAGGAATTTATGACCACTAAGACAGCACTACAGGAAATACATGATAGAATGCTTCAAACTGAAGGGGAAAACAAACCCATCCATGAGGTCACACTAAAGAATAAACCATGCTAGGATAATAGTTAAGCAAGAGAGGAAGAGGAAATAAAACAAACACTATAAAATTAACAAAATGGCAGTAATCACAGGTGGACTAGTGCTACAGATCAACAGCAAAAGAAACCCCAGCACATAGAAAAACTAATGTAAATTAAACAACACAAGAAATAGGAAGGAAAATGAAAATACAACATATCAAAGTCTTAGAACAGAATTTTATAGCTGTATAGGGCCCAGAAAATATCCCCCCCAACACTGTAAGTAGCAGATTTGTAAATGGGACAGCAACACACTTGATGAACTCTATAGCTGCTCTTCCCCAGATGCCCAACATTACAGTGGGAGTCACAGCTGCTCAACTGCATAATTTAAATAAAATGGGGCTAATTAGATCCTCAAGTAACAAAGGCCAAATGGCAGCACATGTGTATCCGTGTAATAATAACAAAGAAAAAGAGGCAAGGAAAGGGAATTAATATTTGAGAGAAAGTAAGGAGGGGACATGGGGAGGGTTTAAAAAAAGCAATGATGATGTAATTGTATTTTAATTAAAATTTGAAAATCCAAAATACTAATGAAAAACAACCCACACACAAAAAAGTCAAATTAAATTACTAAATAGGATTTGTAGCCACAACGTACAGACTGGCAATAAAACAAAGTTATAAGACCCTTCCTTAGGTATCCAAATCCCTAATAGGAACCCAAGCACAAGATACCATAGCATTTACTGTACCTCTTTGATGATTCTCACCCCTCTTGGATCCTTGATATTAACAGCTATACTCTAAAAATCAAAATGTATACATTAAAATGTTTTCATAAATCTTTTTCATTATTACTGATAGTTCAGCAACAGAGCCATTCATATACAAATTCTCACTGTAAAGCAAGCTTAGTTTCTTTATGAAAAAATATTTAAGTCATCTTTATTGACTTCATTTACAATCAGAATATTTACAGTATTTACACAGTAAATACTTTTCAATAGTAATACTATGTAATACCAATATAGAAGCATTAAATATAAAGAACCAAATTATTTGTCTTTCACAGACTATTTCCATTATGAATTCTCATAATTTCTTAAGTTATTTAGTAGAGGAGAAATAGTAATACAAACTCTATTGCTTAGATTCAGATCATGAAGATTTGAAATATTAGTTACATATCAAAAAGGAAGCCATGATACATATCAAAAGTTTTGTAACTGCCAAGAGAATTACAGAAAAAAAGCAAAAACAGGAAATAGTCTTACTTTTTTATTTCGATTAACACTAAGAAAATATGTACTTTCTGTGTTCACAAAAGGAGGTCCCCAAGTTCGTGTGTCATCACCAGCTCCTATAAATGATAATATGACCTATTAATTGCAAAACAACAGGCTCACTCCTGTGCATACTCCTAGGTACCTGAACAAGTTCAACTCATCCTAAGGGATCCTTACCTTTGGGGGATTCTATAGCTCAACAGAACTCACCAGATCTCCACTTTTTAATGCCAACTGCCAAATCATTCCATATTCACTTTCACTAACTTGTCATATTGAAGGTCAAAATCCAGAAGGAATTATTTTATTAGTGGACTTAGAGTTGATAAACAGCAAACTTAGGGAGCATTTCTCAGTTTTTGGCAAGCATGTTGATCAGTTCCTTCATTATTTCTTGACATTGAGTGTGAAATGAAAATATGGAATAAACCAAAAATGTGTATTACATATTATTTAAACCTGAATAATAATATGAATATATGCTAAATTAGAATAAGGGGCTGAGTCTACAACAATGACCAATAATCTATAAACTATTTCTCTAAAATCAGAAAACACTAAACAGAGGCTGAGGCAATGGCTCTGGAGTAAGTAATGTGTTTACTGCTCAAGCATAAAGAGCACAGTTCAAATTCCCTGAACCCATAAAAAATTCAGGTGGTGTAACACTCTACACTTTATTCCCAGTTCCTATTAGGCATAGACAGAGAATTCATAGGGCAATATAAATACAAATGTTAACTTGCTTACCAAGTAAAATGACAAAAGAATGGATGTTGTATCTAGGAACAGATGATGCAACAAAAGCAGTGGTTTAAACTGAGGTCTGTAATCTCAACACTGAGGATGCTGTGGCAGGATTGTGAGTTCAAGATCAGCATGCACTATCTAGCAACAAGTCTCTGTATCTCTGTCACTGTCTTTCTGTGTGTCTATCTCTCTGTGTCTCTGTCTCCCTGTGTGTGTATCCTGCTGCCTCTTTCTGTCTCTGTCTCTCTATTTCTCTCTTAAAAAATAAAAATAAAAGGAATCAAGAATAGGTATGAGCTGGGCAGTGGTGGCACAAGCCTTTAATCCCAGCACTCAGGAGGCAGAGGCAGGCGGATCTCTGTGAGTTGGAGACCAACCTGGTCCACAAAGAAGTTTCAGGACAGCCAGGACTGTTACACCAAGAAACCCTGTCTCTAAATAAATAGATAAATAGATAAATAGATAAATAAATAAGAAGGATAAGGAAGAGGAAGAGGGGAAGGGGAAGGTATGGCATTGAAATAGGACTGGAATAAGGAAGTTAGAACTTTGTAGAGCCTGGAGTGGGAGGTGGGGAGTTCAGCATTCCCCAGCACATGCAGCAAAGACAAAGCGTGGTGTATATTAGTGACTGAGTGGGTGAGGTGCTGCCTCTGGAAAGCAGCACTTGATAAGCACTTCTGCCAGTCAAGATTGACAAACCCAGGCTCAATGAATACAATGATAATATTCACCTTGGTGCTAATGAGAATCTTCTGCTAACTGCTTTAGGCTCTTAGAAAAATCTATTTAGCAGGACATTGAATATCCCAAGCATTCTATTTTGAAGGTTTTATCATTTATTGAAAATTAATAAGTTCATAATAGCCGGGCAATGGTGGCACATGCTTTTAATCCCAACACTCGAGAGGCCAAGGCAGGTGGATCTCTGTGAGTTCTAAACCAGCCTTGTCTACAGGGTGACTTTCAGGACAGGCTTCAAAGCTACACAGAGAAACCCTGTCTCGGAAAACCAAAAAACAAACAAACAAACAAAAAAAAGTAAGTAATGAACATACTATTACAGAATATCTTTTGAGTCTTATGGATAAACAGCTACTATGGAACTGGACTAGACCATTCTCACTGATTTGAGAATCCTGCCCCAGGTCCGTAAGGATCAGATCTTTGAAAACAAATGGTAATGTGATTTGATCATTGCTTTTTGAGACACACTTTTATTTAGCACATGCTGGCCTAGAACTCATTAGGTGGTAAAGAATGGCCTTGAACTACTGATCCTTTCGAGTCCATCTCCCTAGTGCTAGGATTACAGGTGGGCACCACCACACAAAATAATAACAATAATTTTGAAAACCCCAAAATAAACAAGTTAAATGATAGTACAAAGGACAAGAAGGATGGGGATTATGCCTAAGTACTTGTTAGAGAACAAGGATGTGCTACATTAAGACTTTCTGAGAATTTTATTAATAATAGCATGAACTAACAGGTTGACAAAATGCTAAAAAGGCACCAAATAAAGTCAGAAATGTGTTCACAGACAGTGTTTGCTTAGTATGCAAAGGAGAAAGAATAAACTGGAAACATGTCATGTCCTCAAACTGGAGTCTGAGTCTTTAAGCCTCCAGGCCAATCTGGGGTAGGTAAAGAGATGCTATAAATAAATAAATAAATAAATAAATAAATAAATAAATAAATAAATTTTTTTAGAAAGTAAGAACTTCCAAAGAATGTATCTAAAATTAGCTTTTTCCCCTCAAATTGTTATGATAGTAAAAATGGCAAAATATTTCTTTTATTTAAAAATAGTGACTTAGGTTAGGGTATTTTGGTCTCCTGTCAAAGAAGATTCTTTGACAGGAGATTCTTTTGATTCTTTTTCCTTCTCTCTATCTGTTTCCCATTTCCTCCTTTTTCTGCTCCTTTGCCCTTCAGCCCAAAGTCAGGGAGCATATAGTCACACTAACTCATGGGACCACTCATATGGGCTTAGGAGCACCAGGATCAGAACTGAGTACTTGTACATTCCTTGTTAAATGTTCAAGCTTGAACTCTCAGCATAGATACATGGGGCCTGGGCCCTCCCCCATATGATGTGACAGATTTTAATGATCCCCCCCCATGAAAGGCCTCACCATCCTTAGGGAGTGGATGGGGGGTAGGCTGGGGGGCGGAGCATGGGAGGGAGAGGGAACTGGGATTGATATATAAAATAAGATTGTTTCTAAATTAAATTTTTAAAAATCTAAAAAAAATGTTCAAGCTTGAATAAATTATCTTACTTCTTGATGACTTTATTTTCTCACTGGTAGATTAGGACTAATTTATCAGCACATAGAGTTGTTGCAAAGATTAAGCTAAAATCAGTGGAGGGTTTTAGAGATTTGCCTAGCACTATGGTTATGCTATCAGCATTGTAATTACCTATCATAACAGAACTTTCCAGTATATGAGAAGGAACTGGCTTGAATCTGTCCTAGATACATAAAAATAAAAGATAATTAATATGGATACAGAGAAAGACAGAGAATGGAGAAAATGCCTGATTTCCATTATTTCCTCACTCAATTTATGGGCACACTTATCCTGGATTATTTAAAGAACTACCAAGAACATTTGCTAGCCTGACTCTACTTTTTAAAAGTAAATAGATTTACCTGGTCTTTCCACCTTAATAACTTCTGCTCCAAGGTCGCCTAAATTCATCGTAGCAAAAGGTCCTGCCAGTACTCTATAATGTTAAACAGTGATAGATAAATGACCATCTTGATAATCTATGTATTAACTATTTTAAATCAATTAACACAGAGAAGCTCATATAATGCCAGCAATGATCAAACTTGCTAAAATTGTAATTCTCAATATTTATCAAAAACTTTAAAAAAGTATAACCCCCTTGATGCAGGAACATTATTTCTAGAATTCTATCCATAGAAAGAATTGCAACTAAAGCAAAGATTTGCATATAAAAAGGCCTTATTCGGGCAATTGGGTGACATTTATAGATATCATCTTTCATTAACCTTAATGAGCATAGGAAATTATTCAAAATATATTGATACATTTAAAATATAGGTAACATAATAATTTCAATATAGTTCCAATTTGGGGAATATTAATTACATGCAAATATGTATACTGCAAAATTTCATAAATACTATACTTACTGTCTTTGAAAATAATGATAGTTGAGAATTTCTTTCCTGTTTATTCATAAAAATTGCAATGCAAGCATGTAAATATCTCTTTATAATTTAAAAACTAATAAAGCCTTTTCATAAAAGGGGGGAAGCTCAGTCACTGAATTGCTGATAATCCAACACAAACCTTGTTAGATCCAGAATTCTCACACCCTCCAGTGGCTTCATATTATCAGTATCTGGCAAACAGATAACATTGAAGAGTATGGATTACAAATTTTCAAAGTCAACACTGCATAATTCTTCATATTCTCTTTGTTTGTTCTTTTTTTTTTCCAGACAGGGTTTCTGTGTGTACCTTTAGAGCCTATCCTGGCTCTCACTCTGTAGAACAGGCTATGCCACCACTGCCTGGCCTGATTTTTTTTTTTTTTTTTTTTTTTTTTTTTTGGTTTTCGAGACAGGGTTCTGTGTGTAGCTTTGGAGCCTACCCTAGTACTTGCTCTGGAGACCAGGCTGGCCTCGAACTCACAGAGATCCGCCTGCCTCTGCCTCCTGAGTACTGGGATTTAAGGCATATGCCACCAGCGCCCGGCACCTGATTCTTAATATTCTAAGTAATCTGTTATTATCAAAAGTAATTTTCCTTCACAATAATTGTTTGATATGTAACATAGAAACCTTGGCTTGTCTCACTAAAAAAAGAAAAATCTACAGAGATCTAATGAACATATAATGGAAAGGATTTACAACCTTTCTCTTCTGCACACCAGAAACACAGGGACCAGGGACCATGAAGGCTGCAAAGATTGAATTTTGCCACTCAAGCCTCCAGACCAAACACCAAGTGGAACCTGCTGGAGCCAGAGGAATGTGACAACTTTACCTTTCCAACCAGCACAACTGTGCCATAGAATATTCTTCTAACTTTTTTTTCCTGCTATTTAATTCCCACCCTTGCCTGTATGTCCCCTGATGGTTTTTATTTTGATTGCTCAGTCAGGTTTCTAGAATATTTTGTGTATTTCTCTTCCCACTCTTTTATTGTGTACTTTCTACTTGTACTTTTCACCTGACTCATCTATTCCCCTCTTATTCTTGCCCCCCCCCAGCCTTATCCTTTCTTTTTATTTCTTGATTACACCATCCCTAGCTTTAACAATCTCTAAAATCTTTGGGTCCTAACAGTATTTTGGCTTTCTCCTCCCAGTTTGTTGCCCACCATATCATTTATTTTTACTTTCAAAGTCAATCTAAATCTAATATATATCCCTATCTTTGCTTACCTACTTCCCTCCTACACATAATCTTAGTTATTAAAATTAGCATATGCCCTACTGCCCATGTTTGTTTATCCTTCAACACTTACTGAAGTCTAAGGGACTGTACTGGCTGGTTCTGTGTCAACTTGACACAAGCTAGAGTCATCAGAGAGGAAGGAACCTCAGTTGAGGAAATGCCTCCATGAGATCCAGCTGTAATGCATTTTCTCAATTAGTGATCAATGGGAGAGGGCCCAGCCCATTGAGGGTGGTGCCATCCCTGGGCTGGTGGTCCTATAAGAAAGCAGGCTGAAAAGGCCAGGGGAAGCAAATGAGTAAGCAGCATCCCTCCATGGCTTATGCGTCAACTCCTGCCTCCAGAATCCTGCCCTGATTGAGTTCCTATCCAGAAAAATGAAAATGTAAGCCAAATACACCCTTTCCTCCCACCAACTTGCTTTTTGGTCATGGTGTTTGGTGTAGCAACAGAAACACTAAGACAGGGACCACAACTGTTAACTAATACAACATTTAAATAGGCCAACTGGATACAGAAAAATGCCTCACTGAAACTCTCTTGCAAAGTTATTATGGATTGTCTCAAATTAACAGTTAAAACTAACCACTGGGACTGGTAACATGGCTTAGCTGCTAAAGGCAGTTACTTCCAACCCTGGCACCCTGATTTCCATACCTGGAACACATGGAATAGAAGAAAACTAACTCCCACAAGTTTTCCACTGACCTACAAACATTTACTGGGGACACACACATTTTTTGCATACAAATAAAATAAAATAAAATAACCAGATCTAGGAAGAGTTGGTGAAGGAGGGAAACGTGTTCAAAATATATGAAAAAAATTTAAAAATCAGCCTGTGGTGGTGTGGTCAAAAATAGTGATTACCAGCTAGGCAATGGTGCCACACACTTTTAATACCAGCACTCAGGAGGCAGAGGCAGGCTGATCTCTGTGAGTTAGAAGCTACCCTGGTCTACAAATCAAGTTCCAGGACAGCCAGGGCTGTTACACAGAGGAACCCTGTCTCCAACAACAACAACAAAAGTACCCAAACACATCTTTATAAAAATCTGAAAAATAAACTTTTTTCTAACAGAAAAGGGTATTGGATCCTCTAGAAATGGTGTTATAGGAGTTTGTGAGCAGACCAATGTGTGTGCTGGGAACTGAACTCTGGTCCTCTGCAAGAGCTGTAAACAGTCTTAACCACAGGGCCATCACTCCATCTTCAAATATCAGATTTTTCAATAACAGCACTAGAAGTGAAAATGGAGCAAAACATTTTTTAGAGTGAGGGTACAGCAATTTCTTGCCTAAGTTCTAAATCCAATCAAGATACAAAGCATGTGTGAAAGTAGAAAAATACTATTTAAAACCTTTACCTCCATGTATTCTTTCTCAGAAATAAAATTGCCGCTAGGTGTCACCATTCAACAAAAAGATGGGTAATAAGTACAGTAGGTTATACAAAGGAGGAGAGCATTAGAAGGGATGCATATTGAGGATCAAAATGGGGTACAAATGATTCAGGATACTTAAAATGGAGCAGGAAAAAACTGTTAAGCAGAGTTCAGACACATAGACAGCTGAACCTTTGAACTGGACTGCAGACATAACACACTACCCTGTGTGAACTGACTTTTGAAATACTGTTAAATCTGATGTTCTGTATGATGGACCCTATCAACCAAACTATTCAGAGATATCACATCCAATCCTATTTTACAAGATGGCATTTTATCATCATGTGTCATAATTTCTGACTAACAACTGATATTATTCCCATCCAATCGCATTGTAATTTAAAATTACAAATACGTGAAAGCTGCCCCAGGAAAGGATAGCAGAAACTGCAAGGGAACTGCTGCTCCTCAAGAGATCTTAGTGGCAAGTGGCATGCAGGGATCCAAGGCAACTACTAGGAAGGGATTTATTACCTCTGTTCTACCACACACCAGAACACCAACGCTACAGAGACCAGTGGATCCTACTCAACCCTCCCACATATGGCATCAAGTGAATGAAGCCAGACTTGATAGAGCCATATGAATCTCAGAACTTTAGTCTTCCACACATCACAGCTGAGCCAGCAACTAATTCTATAAGTATTCTTTTATTTCCTACTTACACGTGTTTAATTTCCACTCTTGCATATATGCCTCATGATGGTTTTGAGTGTGCTTGTATATTGTTCAGTTAGACTGCAGGACTGTTGTTTATGTTTCTCTGCCCAGATACCTTAAGACATACTTTTTTACACTTTTCAACCCTGATACTCTTCTTCTCCCTGTGGGTTTTCTTCTTTCTCTTGTTCTTACATTTCTCCTTTTTCTTCTTGATGGTAACCTGCCTAAGATGTAATAATCTCGAAAATATTTGGATCAGGAACTGGAGAGATGACTCAGTGTTTAAAAGTGCTATCTGTTCTTGTAGGTGACCAGGTTCAGTACCCAGCACCTGTATCAGATGGCTCATGACTCCCTGTAACTCTGTGGGCACCTGCATGCATAGAATTTGGGTAAACATTTGTGCACACACCTGCATACACACAAACACAAATAAAAATAATAAATCTTTAAAAGTAAGCAAATGAAATCTACGGACTCCAAAAGTATCTGACCTTTTCCCTCAAACTACTTTACCTGCCTTTTTTTTTAATTATTATTCCAAATGCTAAGTATTCATTTTATTCCTGATGCATCATCAGAGGTAGGACAATCATTTTCACAGATACACAAATCCCAGGACCTGAAGGATAGGAGGACTCGTGTCTTCAGTTTTTCCACAAGTTACAGTCATCTTCATCAAAGGAATACCAGTCACTATCAATCACCATGCGGGGCTTGATAAACTGCACTTTCTCCAGCTGCCTTCTCACCTGGGTATAACACTCCTGTTTCCACAGGCCTATTATCCTCAGATTAGAGGCAGGGTGCAGGAATGCAGGACAGAGCTTCAACATCCCAGACGTACCAAAGGCTTTCTTATCAGGTTTGGCTGGTGAGGCGCTGGTTGCAAGAGAGGGCCAATGACAGCACCTCACAGCAGTTGGAAGTCAACCTGAATGCCTCCAACCCAAGTCTCCTCTGGGAGCTGCCACTTTGTTTTAATCCCTTACACAGTGGCAGTGGCAGGAGGACTGCAGAGATGATTGAGTAACCTGGTCTACACAGTGAGCACCAAGCCAGTGAGCACCAAGCTAGCAGAATACATAATGAACACTATGGAGTAGCATCTCAAGGATCCCCTGCTGTGCAGTCTCTGCAATGTTTTTATGAATATTGCCACTTTGACGATTTTATTGACCAATAGCTTTACACACATTAGTAGCATCAAAGAGAATTTACAACACACCATTTTATTTGAGATTTGAATATTCATTAAATTTTGTGACCCAAAATTAACAGGTGTTTCACAATCATTTTCAAACATGCATAGCACAATGCAGAGGAAACCTGAACCACCAGTGCACATGTTCCCATCTGAAATCAACAAGATCTTCATCCCTCTTATTTCAACTGTTATACCAGAAATATGTGTCCATTTGGCAGTATGTTTCATATTTTTTGCTTTTACTGTTGATTTCATTGACTAAAAAACAAATATAGTGGTAAAGTGGTATCTGATACTGCTGACCACAGGAAAGATACGATATGTTTTAAGGTGAAAATGCACATTAGCTAAGCTTAATTCTGGTATGAGTTAGTGTTGTTATGAGTTCAATACTGATGAATTAACAATATTGTTACATAAGGTGTCTTTAAACAGGAACATTTATAAAACAAGGCCACATGTTAATACATTGATGAAATATGCGAGCAGTCATAAGGATCTTAACCTTGTGTTTGCCCTAGAAGCAAGTTCATTATTCAGTATACACTACTACATGAACCATTGGAATGTCTACATGAGGTTTAGGTCAAAACCTGAGGCAAGCCTTAAGAAGCCTACAAAC